TGCTTCACCACTTTGCCTGTTAAAAGATAAGTGCAAACCTTGATGTCTTTCCATTCAGGGTCCGTATTCAACCGTTCGTGGATGAAGTACTCCAGCGCTGCTGATATCTTCTCCATGAATTCCGTCCCTGGCATCTTGACAACAGGATTCTGAAGCTCATACGTATCTCGGGGCATCACCTCTTTCCCCTGAGCTCTGAATATCTCCGTCAAGAGGATCGCTTCAGCCTCCTGGTACATATATGCATTGTGAATTTTATGATAAACAGTTATCTTGTCGAGGGAATGAAATGAAATAGACTTGAGAGCTCACCGAGTCTGCGCGATACTTGGCAGTTTTGAAGTACCTCTGTTGCAGCTTGGTCATCTTGGACATAGGGGCGACACCATCTGCGGTTGGAATTTGTAGGTGGATGATGCATATCATGGGAAAGAGGAATCAAGAGAAGTCATTTGTGTATCCAGTGATCGATCCATGTATATAGTACTATGCACGGACCTACTGCCAAGTAAAGGAGCCTCCTTGGCCTGACCATGCGAAACAAGCGATCCAAGTAAGCGAAAAACCAATTGTACACCTGCGCGAATGCCAGTGAAATTAAGGCCAGCTCAAGAGTTCAAGAGAGTCAACAGACACCGGCTAGATTGCATGGCGATCGTCATGGTTGAGGTGTTTATTACCAGCCCGTTGTTGAGGCGGAAGCATTTGTGGATGATTTCATTCATGTCGAGGTAGAGGTTGTCGTAGATGATCTCTTCTTCTTCATCTTCATCCTCTTCATCGTCATCTTCTTCTTCAACCTCTTCTTCTTCCCCCTCTTCTTCCTCCTTTTCTTCTTTCTCCTCCTCCTCGTCCTCCGATGACGAGGCAGAGTAGACGTCGATGATGGTGCCGACGATTTTTGGGTACTTGCCCACGAGCCAGCTGAAGAAGGAAGGTATTCCCATGGCCGCTAGCTAGTACAGTAGAATCTTGGCATCTGGGAGAGAGTGATGAATTTCGTAACTGAGCTAGGCACCAACAAATCTTGGGATGTTTAGCTGGGAGCAGGTCGCAACAGATCGGTTGCTAATCTAGCTTGAGATGCTATCTTTGGCGACTACCTTTTCTTTTGCTTTGCTGAGTCGGCTTTGCACCATGCTTAAGACTTTCCACGAAGAGTACCTGCTATGGCTAAAGGCAGAGGATACACTTCCTCCTAGCCTTAGGAAGCCAGGTCAAGTCAATGCTCCCGCCATGATTAGAATAAGCTGCAGGAGTACTAGATAATCCACATGGTTCCATGGTTGCACGAAAGCTCCTATCATTTCTGATAATAAAATTCCAGAGGCGTACCTTCGCCCCTGCTTGTTTTAGTGGGCCTTTTTTTGCCTTTTGTTTTAGGAATACTGAAAAATCCCGAGGTATAGGCGTACTGCTGGAACAAAAGAGAGAGAAACAACATGTTTGCACAACAAAGGTCGCACCGTTGACATATTATTATTATCGTTTCCTGCAATGGAGTGTATGGGTGTTACGGCGCTGCTAGAAGGAGGGCATGAGGGGGCCGGCCGGGGGTCTTTTGTCCACGGCCGGGCAAGATGGAAGGGATTTACTTGACTTTCAAGTAAGGCTTACTTGACCCCCTAAGCAAGCGATTCTTTATCTAATTAACCCTAAGACTAACGGGCTATACCGGCAGCCAAGGCCATTAGGTCCATTACGTACTCTAACAATGAGGGTGATCGATCCTCCTTTTCTAAAAAATACAATAGAGTGTACGTATGTACTAATTATATAAACACGTATGCATTGTTAATTGATTCTATAACTTTTAATTATCAATAATAAACAATTTGACAAGCTAAACTTACATAACTATGTTTTTTCCACACAGAAAAACTTACATGCTTTTATATGAAAGCAAAACAAAGGGACCCTGAGTGAGAGTAAAAGCTTTTCCGAGTGGCCCGGTACTTGATGTAAGAAGAAGAGAGTTGGTTCAGTTTATACAAAAAATATAGACCTAAAACCCACACAGAAGACGGTTTATTACGAGAAGAACCTCAAATCCAAACACACACCCACACTGCCCGGCTAGACAAGGTCTCGGGCGGCACACCTACCGTGACCTGCTGCCGAAGAGAGAAGCCAGAACACGGAGAACAACGAACCACGCCACCAGCCAATGATGCTTGACTGTTGAACGCACACAAAGCCACTGACATCCCACCGGAGAAAATCAGCGCCGGCAACACCAACAAAGCCGCATCTTCCAAAAATGTGCCTCAAATGAGCAAAATGATGTCAAGCGAATGCCGTCACCATTCGATCAAGAATTGATCTGGGTTTTCACCCGGAAGACGAACCCAGTGGTTGGAGACGGTTCAATACTCCACAACAATGTCATCAAGATGGAAACAACACGGGAGAGCATGCTTGCCACCGAGCACCAACAAAGCCAGGCTAAACTCTCGTCCGGACCAACGCAAAAGACCGCCATCAGCAGATTGTCGTGAGGACAGTGCCATTGCGTCGCCGGCTCTCAGCGCCTCCAAGGAGCCGCCGTCACCGGGACCCTCGTCCGTCAGACTACTGCCTCCCACACGACCAGTGACACAACACCAAAACCACCAACTAGGAGCCGCCGCTCCGGACCCACACGTAAATCACCAACCCGAGTCCATACCGGCAAATAAAAATCCGAGTCCAGACCAAGCTTTGCTAGGTGCATAGCGGAAACACAAACACACACTCGACCAGCAGCCCAGAGCCGCACCGCCTCCGATGTCGGGGACCCACCCCCTTGGTTTAAAGCACTCCAAACTGACACCCATAGGCGCCCCACGACCGCCGCCGCAAAGAGCAGCCGCTGCCACAAACAGTTCTGGGAGGCGTTTTTCTTTTGAAGTCCTGGGAGGCTGGGAGCGCTAGAGCCGTGTAACCGGCCCAGGGAGCATCGCATACACCCATGCCACGAAGCAATGGGGGTAGCGCCACCACCGCCTTGCCCGGGGCCACCGTCTTGCCTTGCCCGTCCGTTGGTGACACATTGGCCATTCTTCCCCCTCCACTCCCTCCACAGTTGATACCCCCTCCCATCCGGCCACGTCGCCCTCGCCGCTGCCCACATCTGACCGCTTGGACTATACCCAGGCCACCGCCTGCATCCACCCACTTCCCCCACCTCCAGGTGGCATCCGAGGCCAACTCTTGCCGACGTTTGTGGCCTCTTCTCACCGTCCCTCACCTTCACGGACGCTGGCACGCCCTCGCCTTCACTTCTAAAGGCCTACTGCATGTACTGGGAGGGGCTAGGCTCTTTACCGGTTGCTACTCCACCATGCCCGGAAGGTGTTTGACGTTTTACCCACATGGTACCATGGATAACGGGGATGAGGTTTTTTCAATAACTTCATGTGTTCATTGACGATTCATCGTCAAACGATGACGAATTTGTGGTTGCGACTATGGTCGTCAATGATCACATTGCCAGACAGCGGCCGAGGTGTCGGGATCGATCCCGGGCCATGCTCCAGCATCGAATCGCAACAGAGAGAGCGGTCATTTCTTACTCTTCGCCGGTTATTTATAGTGTACGTGTGCACTCTTCAATCCAAGCTTTTCTGGCGCCACTTCTGGATGGCGAGACATGTGTTCAACTGTATTCGAGGGGAGTGGTGGTGTATGATGATTACTTTAAGTGCAAGAATGATGCCCTTGGAAAGGTTGGCTTCTCCTCTTATCAGAAATGCATCATAGCTATTCAGATGCATATGGAATTCCCGGTGATCGCGTGGATGAGTATGTCCGCATGAGTGAGTCCACATGTCTTGCATCATTGTACAAGTTCTGCAAAGCTGTGGTGGCAGTGTTTGGCCCAGAGTAATCGAGAGTACCAAATGCTGCGGGTACAACCCGGTTGTTGGCGATCAATGAATCGAGAGGCTTTCCAGAAATGCTTGGTAGTATAGATTGTATGAACCGAAAATGAAAGAACTGTGAATTTGCTTGGTAGGGACAATATAAGGGGCATATTAAAGCTTGCACGGTCATACTTGAAGTTGTGGCATTACAAGATCTTTAGATTTGACACTCTTTTTTCGGCATGGCTGGTTCTCACAATGACGTCAATGTGCTTCGACGATCTCCAGTGTTTGAAAAGCTTGTAGAAGGCAATTGACCAGAGGTCAACTCTGAGATCAATGGCCATGAATACAATAAGGGATACTACCTAGCTGATGGTATCTATCCTCACTGGTCAACTCTTGTGAAGAAAATCTCCAATCAGGTAGGAGAGAAGAGGGTCAGGTTTGCCCAAGCACAAAAGAGTGCTAGAAATGATGTGGAGTGTGCTTTTGGTGTGCTCCAATCTTGATGTGGGAGGTGATGACTGCTTGTGTGATCATGCACAACATGATCACAGAGGATGAGCGTGATGACAACAGCTTCAACCAAGGATTTCAATTTCAGGGTGCAAATGTTGTGCCTGAGTATGGACCGGCCACATTTGCTAAGTTCACCCAATTTCACACAGAAATGCGTGATTGACCAACTCACATTCAACTTCAAAATGATTTGGTCGAGTATATGTGGACTCACCTTAGCAACCAATAGATGTATCGGCTCTTTTTATTTCAATCTATTTGTGGCAATTTAAATTTCATTTGGTTGTAAACTATGAGATTTTCTGGCTATAAACTATAAGATAATTATTTGGTAGTAAACTATTTATTGTGATGTAAAAACTATGTGATTTATTTGGTTGTAATATGCAATGTTTCTTTTTAGTTTAGATTTATATGCATGAAAGAAAAGGTGTAAATTTGGCCGCCTACCGGTCGGGCGGACAAAATGGGTCGGTCAGTTGGGCGCACTCGTCAGCAATATGTTGCGGACGTGGCTGAACACCGTCCCCGGACAAAAAAGGACCAAATCCGCGCCAGTTTGTGTTGGTGCATTGGATATGGCCTGACTAGTCATTGCTCGTGGACGCGCTAGGGGTGAGGGTCTGTATTTGGTGTCCATGACTGTGGATGCTCTTAGAGTATCTACAACACAAGTATCAAAATCCGGCCTCCAAATGCCAACAATCCGATGCATTCATGAACCTTAAAATTCATACCTCAAATTCATACTAACCATCCAGAATAAAATCCTACGTACTATGCACATATTTAAACTACTCATCGTCGGAGATGGGCGCCGGGTAGATGGGCGCGTGCGAAGCTAAGGCGCATCATCGTCTGAATTAGAGGTTAAGACCTCATTGATCTACGCCCTCTCTTGACAGATGAAGCATTGGTTGTCCTCGACATAGGCCTTGTCCTGGATGGACTCGAGGATGGAAGATTGCTCCACCATCTCCTCCGCTTGCACGACCTCCTACTCCGCCATGGCATCCTGTTGGGGAACGTAGCATAAATTCAAAATTTTCCTACGTGTCACCAAGATCTATCTATGGAGTCATCTAGCAACGAGGGAGGAGTGGATCTACATACCCTTGTAGATCGCGCGCGGAAGCGTTCAAGAGAACGGGGTTGATGGAGTCGTACTCGTCGTGATCCAAATCACTGATGATCCTAGCGCCGAACGGACGGCACCTCCGCGTTCAACACACGTACGGAGCAGCGACGTCTCCTCCTTCTTGATCCAGCAAGGGGGAAGGAGAGGTTGATGGAGATCCAGCAGCACGACAGCGTGGTGGTGGAAGTAGCAGGATTCCAACAGGGCTTCGCCAAGCGCTACGGGAGGAGGGAGATGTGTCATGGGAGGGAGAGGGAGGCGCCAGGGCTCAGGTATGGTTGCCCTCCCTTCCCCCACTATATATAGGGCCAAGGGAGAGGGGGAGGGCGCAGCCTTGCCCCTTCCTCCAAGGAAGGGTGCGGCCAAGGGGGGGAGGAGTCCATCCTCCCCAAGGCACCTCGGAGGTGCCTTTCCCCTTTAGGACTCTCCCCTCCTCTTGTCC